TGATATGGGTGCACCATACTCTGTGGACTTAAGACTGACTCAAATAGAATAAAATTGGGGACTACTTGATTTTTCAAAAAATACATTCGGCTCATCAAAATTTTACAATTCATTCCTAACAGTTATATTCCAAAGAAATCCAAAAAAAAAAAAAAATCAAAAGAGAAATCAGGAAAAAAAGGAAAAGAAAAGAAAATAAAGGAAGAATAAAAGTTTGAAAGTTTGTTTTTTTAGACCCCCGCTTCATTACAGTGTTGCTTTGTTCTTGAGTTGCATTTAGCTCCTTTGGTTATTATTGTCTTTATCTCTTTTATGTTTTGAAAAGATAGATAATTGTGACATTCTCTCTTTTATTATTTATCCATAGCACTTCCTTGTTAGCCATTCACCCCTAGCCCCATTACAAGCCTGCAAAGACCTACTTGATCTTAGCATGCACTCTTAGAGTTGAGCTAGTCGGAGTATGAAAGGCAAGCCTATGGGATCTCATTCAAAGTCGAGTTTTGCATTATCTCAACTTAGTATTTGTGCACACTTGATCTTCATGCACTTTAATAATTTTAGTGTTTGGTTATTGGCTTGAGAATGGATCTTGTGTGCCAAACTGAGATGACTCTTGAGGGATATTGTTTTGTGGCAAGTTGGTTGTGGTATGCTAGGTTGTACAAGAGAGACTATGAGTAATTTTTGTGCTTGACTTGTGATATGTTCAATGGTTTTGCTTGAGGACAAGCAAAGGTTTAAGTGTGGGGGAGTTTGATGTGAGCTTATTTGTGTATGTTTCTCTTGTTAATTTGAATCTTCTTTTGAGCTTAAGTTCGTTAAATTGTCACTTTCAGTGCCTATTTCCTTGCTTTCTAATAAAGATATGCTTTAATGCTTGTTTTGAATGTTTTTATGGTGTTTGTTAGTGTTTTGAAACCATTGTAGATCAATACCAAAAGCAAGGAAAGTTCTAAGACAAGTTCCGAGCCAAAATGGACTGAAGGGTGCTGAACAGAGGATTCGATGCGTCGAAATATTCCAGTAGCTGAATGGTTGCAGCCGTCGAAGACTCGACGTGTCGAGAAATTCCAAAAGGTTCGGGGCCAAAACTGTTGAAGACTCGACGCGTCGAAAAGCCATGATCTGAGTTTGGACAGCTTGCGGAAATTTCCTAATCTATTCCTATTGAGCTTCAACTATAAAAGGCCCATCTCCCCTCAACCCTAAAAAAAAAAAACTGTGTTTTTGGAGACAAGAAAATGGGAGATCAAGAGGTACAAGTTGTCTGGGAAGAAAGAAGAAAAGTTAGGAAGATTTGGGAGAATCTCTTGTTCTATTCTTTTACTTTCTTTGTTGCTTGTGAACTCTTTTATATCATTGCAATGAATTCTATTCTAGCCATGAGTGCCTAGTTCTTAAATTCATTAATACATTTATATTTGTGTTTTATATCTAGTGTTGCAATTGTGTTCTTTCTTGTTGATGCTAGTAATTAAGGACCCGAATTACTCATTTCAATGCTACCTTTATGTCTTAATGGGAGTTAGGGCATATTTTAGAGATCCCACAATCGCACTTAACTATTGCTTGTTCTTGAATTGATGAGTGTTTATATCATGGGAATGAATATTCACTCACGTTATTTTAGGTTGGAATTATGGGAGTAATTCCTTCCCTTGTATGCATTCTCACACTTGTTTGAACCCGAATTAAATGTCGCACCTTAGATTGGCACTAGGTGATTAAGCACTTGAATCCCAGAAATCCCACTCCCTCTATTGTTTTCATCAACCTACTACTTTGTTCTTTTAATTAGTTTTACAATCAATCAATCACTCTTTTCGATAGGATTAGCTTCTCATGAATGGATTAGTAGCTAGTGCTTGATACACCCCGCTTCCCTGTGGATCAATAACCCTATACTCCGGGTATTTATTTGTTTGTCAAATATACTGCAACCAGGTATTGACTCTTTGGGCTGCAGTAGTTAGAGAAAGTATAGAACGGATACTAATTTGTAATAGAATCAATAATATTTTTTAAAAAGTTACTTTACTTAATTGCCTTTAATAATTAAGTTGTAAGTTATGACATGTAATTTGTAAGTTAAGTTCACTAAGTTGCAAGGTTGAACTTCAAGTAGTTTAGTTTGATTTTTTTTATTTTTTTTTTTCAATCCAAACAAAATCAAAATTCGATAAAAATCGATCCAACCCAAAAAATCATTATCCGATGTAATTAATTGAAATTTTTATAAGCGCAGCACACATTGATGTCGAAACTAATGTTGAATTGTAACACAAACAATCTGTAACGCAGTTCGGACAAACAACCATAATCTGCGAGGCACTTCTCAATTTGAGAACTTGCCTAAATCCACTAAAAGCTCAATATTTAAAGTACGCTGTTTGGAACTTGAGATTACACAATAGAATGATCTTTCTTACCAAACTATTGAAACCTAAACACATGTACTACTTTCTAGGAGAATTTAGTATCCTATTCTCAAAGACTCTCGTACCTCACAAGATTAATGTTGAATGCTTGAAATCTACAATAAAGGACAACCCCTATTTATAGTAACTACTCCTAACAGATTCGTGAATAACAAACTATTCCTAATCAAAATAAAACTAGAAAATCTTCAACAACAAATCCCCTTAGAACTAGTTTCTTCAATAACTATTCCTCTTAAGACTGATATTCCTTTATAGAACTGGAATTCTTTTTGCACATAACTTTGACAAAATACTTTGAGTCAACATTAATTACTAAATTAAACGGATTAGATATACATAATAAAAATCGAAAATGGAACGGCTTGGCGGTTCATAAAATCGAACTGCCCAACCCTGTTCGCTGCACAGGGCTAATAATAATCATGGGCTTCCCCTTAATGTGTGCAGGGATAGTCTTCTGGCAAATTATTGCATGGACCGTGGTCCAAAATGACATCGTTTTGACGAAAAAAAAAATTTTGTTAGTCAATAACGGTGTGATTTGCTAAACCATTTACGTGTTAGAATAATGAATCTTCTAGGATAATATAATGTATTTTATGAGTTAAAATAATGTACTTTATGCTTTAAAATAATGTACTTTATGTGTTAGAATAATAAACCTTCTGAAGTAAGATGTTGTATTTTATAAGTTAGAATAACGTACTTTATGAGTTAGAATAATGTAGTTTATGTGTCAGAATAATGAACCTTTTGGATAACATAATGTATTTTATAAGTTATAAAAAATATATGTTGCAACAGTGGAGAGGAAAATGCAGGTCGCATGAAAGAGAAAAAAAATTGCGCGACCTAACAACGTCGTCTCTTCCAATGAGGAAACTATTTCATTTTTGGACGGTGGTCCATACAGTTGTGTGGATCACAGTCCACACAATAATGATTGTTTTTGGAAAATTATTGTGTAGACCTTGGTCGAAAACGACGTCGTTTTGATGTTACAAAACTATTTGCTCCACGTGCGTGTTAGAATAATAAACATTCTAGAATCAAATTGGTTGAAATTGAAAACTATGAACTACATTGACAGTTGGGAAACAATTAAGAGGCCAAAATGGTGATTAAGTCTAGTTTTTATACAATTTTTGCGTATGGAAGTCTAAGGAAACATTGATAAAATTTTTAGAATTGAAGGACATAATAGTCAATATAGTACATAATTTTGTGTTCAAGTAGAAAGATCTATCTCACAAAATATTGTCCAAGACACCGGCCTGTAATACTATGAGTTGTGACGACCAGCATTTTCAATAGCATATATGCATTATCACAACTCCTTTTGATCTTCCCACCACCATAACTCCGATCCTCAGTCTCTAGCAGCAGCATTATCTTTGACAGTCAACACCAAAATTTACATCTTTTAAATCACCTGATCTTTTTGACATAGCAGTGTCATATCACACATAAATACAGAGATGTTTTCAAATATCATATCTTGATAGGTATTTTTTACATTTGTAATGGGCCCAACTCCGATCCTCCACATCACCATGTAATCCCCTTCCTTAGAGCATCCTTATTAGCAAATCTCTTACACAGTTCCCACATCCACCAATGTTATGGCAGCATCCATCAGATGTCTCCCACTCTGGGCCTTTACAAGCATCTATCAATTTTAGAACCTCCAGATTAGGCAACATACTAATAGCGCTCAGCTCACTCCATTGCAGATTAGACCTCACCAACTTGAGCTTCTTAAGATTTGGTAAACAAGTTGCCCATGGGATGCTACACTTAACAAGGTTGAGATCCATCCACCCTCTGATGCTTACTTTCTCAAGCTGCTCCAAGTGCACAAAATTATAAAAACAATCTATCTTATAATTATAGTATCCACCATCAACTCCCAATGTTTTTAAATTTGGAATCATTGTAAACAGATCCTTTGTACATAACTTAGAATCCAACCAAGATATATTCTCTAAGTTTCTATGTACAACTAACGGTGCTTCTAATGAAAAAATTCTTCCAATGGAAAAATTCCTTAATAGTGGCATTTTCCAAATTCTAAATGGCTCAGAGGAAAACGATATAACACCATCCCTACTAACAATAAAAGTTTGCATATTATTCCAATGGTCAAAGATCTTTGCATCAAAAGTGTGAGTTCTATACAAAGCTAAGTATCTCAAATGAATAAGATTTGCAAGCACATTTAGGTCTATAACTCCATTCCAAATACTATTTCTCATGTCTAGTACTCTTAGTAGTTTCAAGTGTGAAAATAGTTTCGCATCTGCATTCCAAGAATAGTAAAGAAGAGTTAAGTGAAAGGAATGAGGTTTGTGATAGCACTCATCTTCAAACCTGACTTTACCATAGAAAGATCTTGATGTATGGGTTATCCAACAATAAGGTCTTTTAACTCCATTGGCATTCAAGAGATTTTCAAGTCTAGCTTCTCTCATACACAAATCTCGCAACACATCATGGATCATTATTCTCTTCATTTCCCCATTGTAGCTATGTTTGCTAACAATAACAAGACTTCTATCAACAAGATCTTGCAAGCATTCCATTGCCACTTTCTCCAAATTCACATGCTTCACGGTGCTCAAAAATCCCTTTGCCGCCCACAACCTAACCAACTTCTTCACAGAGACCTCATAGTCTTCTTCAAAAATTCCAAAATATAGAAAACAGACTTTTAGGTGGTGTGGTAATTGATTGTAACTCAAATATAGTATTCTGGAACATGCATCCCTAGAATCACCCATTACACTTTCTACAACATTCTTCCACTTTTTCTCCTCCTCTTCTGTCTTGGAGGGAAGACTAGCTACTATAGTAATAGCTAGAGGTAATCCTTTACATTTCTCCACTATGTCTCTACCAATTTGCTCAAACACTGGAAGCAATTCAGTTTTACCAAAGACTTTGCAGAAGAGATTCCAACTTTCATCGGCATTTAAGAGGAGATGAGTCGAGAAGTCAATAGTATACAGCTTCCATCATTATCATCATCATCTGGAAAACATCTTTGAACACTATCCCAAGCAGTAGTGTTCCATAAATCATCAATCACTATCAAATATCGCTGACCTTTCAAAGATCTATACAGCCTTTCTGCTAAGAATTGATATTGGCCAGTGCTCTGTTCATGGAGTTCATCTCTTGATGCTGCAATAACACAACCAATAAGGCATCGGAGCATTTGTTCCATGTTATACTCTTGGGATACAGTAACCCATGCTCGCTTGTCGAAATGAGAAGTAACTGATGGATCTTGATAAAGTTTGTGTGCTAAAGTGGTCTTGCCTATTCCTCCCATGCCAACAATTGAAACAACTTGTCTCCTGTTAGTTGTTTGTTGCGTGAGCAGCTGATCCAATATCTTCTCGAACTGCTTCTTGCATCCAACCATTCCACTGTCAAACTTTGAAGCTTTTTTGGAAAAGTTACTCATAATAATTTTCTTGTGTACTGGATCATGCTGTAATGATCCTTTGACAAGCTGTAGTAGTCCTCTTCGTCGGATCTGACCAAGGAGTGAAACCTTAGCAAGCTGGTATTCCCTTTGAATCCTAATCAACTCATTCTTGTGGTAATCAGTCTGTTTTTCTGCTTCAATGAAGATTTTATGAAGCCTGAGCAGGCAAGCTGTTATATGAAGAAGGCTATCCTTTGCTAGATAAATGGTAGTCAACTCCATCTCAATCCTTTCTTCCGCTTTGAACCATACATCTCTCATCTCTGCCTCTAAATCTTTCATCGCCCCCGCATCATCATTGCCAATCTCAGCTCTCTGAAAAATGCTCTGCAGCAAGTCAAGATTATTTTGGACAGAGACCATCTTTTGTTTGACTTCACCCACCTCTCTAAGCCGAGAAAGCTGCTGCTTTCCATAAAACCTGGGGGGACGCTTGGATGATGACGCTTCGTCCATCTCTCTAATCTGAGCCTCAACAATTTGTTGCAGCAAGCCAAGATTTTCTTTACCATCCCTCATCTGGTAATCAGTCTGTTTTTCTGCTTCATTGAAGATTTGATGAAGCCTGAGCAGGCAAGCTGTTATATGAAGGCTGTCCTTTGCTAGATAAATGTTAGTCAACTCCATCTCAATCCTTTCTTCCACTTTGAACGATGCATCTCTGATCTCTGCTTCTAAATCTTTCATCACCCTCACCCTCGCATCATCATAGGGGATCTCAGATTTGTCAAGACTTTGTTGCAGCAAGCCCAGATTTTGATGGAGAGAAACTATCTTTTGTTTCACTTGAGCCACCTCCATGAGCCGAGAAGTCAATAGTGTACTATCCCGAGCAGCTTGCTGCTTTCCATAAAGCCTGGGGAAGAAAGCCTTTATATGAAGACGCTTTGATGACGCTTCTTCGTCAACCTCCATCTCTCTCATCTGAGCCTCAAGAATTTGCTGCAGCAAGCCAAGGTTTTCATTGCCATCTCTAATCTGTGCCTCTAAATCTTCAAGAGGCAAGCCTGGTTGTGATTGCAAGAAATGTAGAGAAAGTGTTTCCATTAGCGAAGTTACAGCAGCATAAGCCATTTAATTTTCGTCGGAAAATCAGAGGAGAACTGAGACATAGATTGATCGATCTGATACAATGTAAACCGGAATTCATTGGTCAACGCCAGAGTTTAAATAAACCTCATTTTTAAATTAGCGGTAAGTTGCCTAGCTTCTTTCTTTCTTGTCCTAATTGCAATTTTAGTCCCTAAATTATAGGACAAGCGCAAGTGCACTTCTTACTTATCATAATTTCTAAATTTGGCTCATAATTACTCCTTGAAAATGATTTAATTTGTGGTTCAAAAATATATTACAAACCAAAATTGTAATTTTTATAAAGGGAAAATTGTAAAAAATGCCCCTCTATAATATGCCAATTATCAATGTCACTCCTGAATTATGAGTGGTGTAAATGTTGCCCCTCAATTATCAAAACGGTGCACATATAGCCCTTCCCGTAACGGACATGTGGTTCCCCGTTAGTGTACGACACCATTAAGTCGGAGTAAATATGTAATTTAGTTTTTTTTCCCTCCCTCGATTCGAAGTACCAGCGATGGACAACGGTGATGAACTACAAGTCCATTACGCAAGGGGCCATATATGCACCATTTTGATAATTGAGGGGCAACATTTACACCACTCATAGTTCAAGGATGACATTGATAATTGGCATATTATAGAGGGGCATTTTTTACAATTTTCCCTTTTATAAACCACTATTTTAGTCTTTAGAAAGACAAAAATAGTCACTTTTGTGACTAATTGAGACACAAAATTACAAGTCATGATAATTAACACTATACAGAAATCACCTAAAACGTCGCACATATATATAAAGTCGGTTGTATACAAAACCAACGTCAAAATATTAAATAAATTTATAATTTAAAAGAGACTTTTAATGTCGGTTTTTACCAAAAATTGACACCATAATTCATTTTAAATAAATAATAAAAAAAATTAATAAATTATACAACGTCAAATTTTTTTTAAATTTTTGAAACTACTGAAACACAAAGAACCAATACCAATAACGCATCCACTGAGGCTCGAACTCATAATTTTCCAAATAGAAATCCAACCCGAGTATCATTAGACCACATAGTCCTGGTGAAGTAAATGCTTTTGGGTGTTTTCATTTTCAAATTTGAATTTTTTCTTTCCTTTTTTTTTTCTTTTAAAATTTTCAGTTAGTAAATGTCCTCCTAATCTTTTTGGAATGAACAAGCTAGCTAGGACGTTGGCATTTCCATAGTTGTTGTTGCCTTGCTCATCTGGAATCCACTTTGCTGAAGCCAGTAAGGAATCCCAACATTCGTATAATTGAATTAATGCTAGTGTGATGATATCGGCAAAACCTTCAAAGATCTCTTCCAAATCATGACATTTACGTAATGATAAGCCTTCGAGCAGAGGGAAATGGTCACCGGTATAATAGCATTCCAACCATGGAGAGTACTATTTTCTATTACCAACCTCTTCAATGCACGGAATCCACCATCTAATTCCTCCCACTCTCCTAAACCGTATCCCAACCACCTTTCATGTTTAGAACCTGTAGTCTATTGATTTAGAAGCATACCAATAAGCCTCATATATATCACTCCATGGCAGGCATATATGTACTAATTAAAGAAGTTGAGCTTCTTAAGATTTGGTAGATTTTCATAATGAAAGTTATGTCACATATCGAATTCTTTTTTTTTTTTTTGTTTTTTGTTGTTCTGTTTTTTTATTTTTAAATTCGGAATCCTTTGTAAACATATGCTTTAGTTAGTACCGAGTTTAGAATCCAACCAATCAAGATATATTATTGTGATCTCCAAGTTTCTATGAACTACAGACAAAGTTGAGACTTGAGATGAAGAAAGACAAGTCATTAAGTACAGAGACTCCATATATTACAGAACTAATTAATTTCCCAGAAACATCAAATCTGTACAAACAGATTAATCCTCTGTACATAACTTAAAATCCAATCAAGATATATTCTCTAAGTTTCTTTAAACAACCGACATGGTTTCTAATGAAAAGATTCGTCCAATGCAAAAATTCCTTAACATAACAATGAATTCAAACAAGACTAAGTGAGGGTGGATACCCTTTGAAAACTCAAAAAATTGAGACTTGAGATGGAGGAATTGATGTTCAGCTCCATCTGATCCTTCATGCAAACTGCAATGCTATGGCAGCATCCATCAGCTCACCAGGCCACTATGCACATTCAAAATTTGTCATGTCTTCCAACAATTTCTCCAGGCCTAGCTTCCTATATATACTTTCAAAAAGTGAAAGCAATATGCTTAATTCATTTTTCTTTCACACAAAATAAACATCCAGTTATATGTGCTCGTACAACATACCTACTGTACTGCTATTCATTCATTACTGATCACTTCCTCCTCTAGCCTACTACCATATTTTGAAAGTCTGGAAACAGTAAATTCGGTAAAAAGAAAAGATGAACACAGTTAGATAGATAAGGAAACATGAGATAGAAGTGAGAGAAAACAGATCAAATAGATGATTATCCATTGCAACCACAACCATGAATGTTAAATGGTGAGAGTCGAGATATATCAGAGGGATAGAAAGCTAAGAGACCCAATAGATGTTGTTTTGCTCTTCTTGAATCCACTTTGCAGAAGCCACAATGGAATTCCTACAATAGCTTAACTCAATCAATGCTAGTGTGGTGATATGATATGATGATTAAGGGAATATCTTTATTATTAGAACTGATTTATTATCTTTACTATTAGAATTGATTTATTTCCTTTAGAGATAGCAAATAATTAGGGTAAGGAGCTTTAATGATTCTCCTTTCCTTTTTATGTTTTAGTTAGTCTTCCTTTCCTTTTGTGATAAAAGTGTATGCAGTAGACTGTGTGTTTGTATATTAATGTAATGCTCTGTACAGAAGATGTATAGCCTATATATACAAGGTAAGGAAAAGCAAAAGCCATGAATTTCAAAATTCAAATCCTAAGGTTGAGAGTGATTCTCTCAACCATAACCCAACTCTTCTAACACCTTTTTATGTTTTAGTTAGTCTTCCTTTCCTTTTTATGTTTTACTAGTCTTTGTAACCCTCTTATATAAAGGGGATTTTCATTCTAATAAAATAACAAGCAAGAAAGAAGTTAAGTTAAAATCAAGAGGTGGGAAAACTCTCAAAATGTTCCTATTATCTTTGTTCCTTAAATTTATCTCTCAACATAGACATCCCCAATAACCCTAATCGCCCTTTGGCGCGTGCTTTCGCCCGAAAACATAACATTTTGGTTCCATTGCCGGGCGTTAATATGGGCGATATCAAGAAACTCCAGGACGAGGTCCGAACTATCCAGGCATCCATCAAAACGCTGGAACTCCTTCCTGCAGCTGTGGACTCTCTAACAGAAACAGTAGCCAATCTCTCCCAGATGGTGCACTCTTTCTTCACATCGCAGGCCACAACTTCTCTACCATTGGCACACAGGTAGGTGGCCCCTAAATTGTCACACCATAGCCGAGGCGGAGCAGTGAACGAAATTTGCAACTCGCGCAGTAAGGAGACAAGCCAGGTCACCTCAGCAGCCACATCTGCAATAGCTTTGTACGCAGCCTCCGTGGAAGAACGGGCCACAGTACGCTGCTTCTTACACACCTACGAGACCAAGTTACACCCAAAAAACACCACAAAACCACTCGTTGACTTCCGATCAATCGGGTTACCGGCCCAATCAGAATCAGAATACGCATGAATAGAGGCAGAAGGCGACTTCCGGATAAACAAGCCGAGATGTGTGGTACCTTTCACGTAACACAGAACCCGTTTGAGCATAGACCAGTCAGCCGTGGTAGGAGCTTGCATGCGCTGACAGAGCTGATTCACCGCAAAAGAAATATCAGGCCTGGTGACAGTAAGATACTGAAGAGCTCCAACCAGACTCCGGTACTAAGTAGGATCTGCATATGGAACCGCTGACTCCTCAGCCACCTTGACAAGAGAAACCGGCGTGCCAAGAGCCTTGCAATCAACCATGCCAGCTCGCTTCAAAAGATCACCCATGTACCGCTTCTGAGACAACAAAAGACCACCTTGATGAGAGACCGTCCCAATACCAAGGAAGAAGGACGGAGCTCCCATATCCCGAACCTTAAAAACAGTGGCCATCCGAGCAAGTAAGCTATTGACCTGAGCCTGATCAGAACCAATCACAAGAATACCTTCCACATAGACTAGAACAAACAATTGAAAATTAGAACTAGCACTAGTACAAAAAAAACTATCTGAGTCTCCTATAAAACACTTTCCGAGTCACCTGTACAGGTGACTCGGATTCCAGAGCCTCTGAAAGTGTTTAGCTTTCCGAGGCACCTGTATAAGGTGTCGCGAAAAGCTAAATAGACATTTTTTATTTTTTTTAATACAGACTTTCCGAGGCACCTGCTGCGTGACAGGTGCTTCGGAAAGTATTCATTTATTTTTTTTTTTAATTAAGTGTATCCGCGACACCTCTTCACAGAGGGTGTCGCGGATACTCTTTTTCTAAAAAAAAAATTATTTAAAAATACAACATTTCTCAAAGTGTAATTAAATTCTGAAAACCAGTAGAAATTCCTAGCCCTACTTCAACTACTATTTGAAAAAACAGAATTGTTTTACTCACTTTAAAATCACATAAGCACCGACTACTAGTGTCCATTAAATCATTAATCTACTAATTAAAATCTGGAACTAATTTTATCATTTTATGTACTTCAAACACTGCAACCTTTTAGTATTTGCAGCAAAAACACACATCTATCTGAAATCAAGCCTTGTTTCACTCACTAGAAATCCAACAAGTCTTAAATTATTACAAAACAGATGACATAAAATACAAGAGTGCATTTCAAAATTCAAAATCAAGCTTACCCCACTTCATCTTCTGATCTTGTAACAATCAAGCATGAATCACATAGTTGAAGATTTGCAACAGATGTTGTAAGGAATGGCACTAGCAATCACAAAATGTGAGAGTACTGAGAAATTTTTACATTTATAACAGTTAAACTATTGTCAGAGGACCAAACTGAAGTTTTAAAATAATAGATACTTACTATATGGATCCCTTGCACATCCCACAAGAACACATAATTCCAACATCTTTAATTATTCCGCGAAGCAGAACTCCCTAAATCAAGGCAATATCTTAGTCCCAAAGTAAACATAAGCAAGAGGCCAAATATGTTATATATTAAAATTGTGGAACCAGTTGGTTTAAGCCCATAAATTGAAAGGGGTGATCAATAATAGTCTCATGCACGATAGCAACTAAATCTCCCTTTGGGGTACAATGTGTACACAAAGAGAGACACATATATAAGCTCTCATGAAAAGTCAAGCAAATTATGTCTTAAAAATTGCTGGTCATTTCCCAAATATAGAGCTGTTCTTTATATAAAAAAAGATTCTATGCTCAAAGTTTATAAAAACAAGTCCTAATGCATTGTTAAAATCTTCAACAGTTTCCTATTGTTAGCAAAATTGAAAGAAAACATCTTCCGTGAATATAGCCAAACATGAAAATAAAATCAGAGGTTATTTTCAAGACTATATATATATATATATATATATATATATATATATATATATATATATATATATATATTCATGTTAATATATATCACATCAAACAATAAATAAAAACAAAGGTTAATATCTTAAATTTACTTCAAAATGTGTTAATAAAAAAAAAAAAACTATATTCATTAGCTTCCTATTAACCAATTTTCTCATGAGTTAAAAACAAGCCTCACTTAAGACTTATTTCTAACGGAGGTGTATGTCAAAAGCAGAGAGACCTCACAACTCTGGGCAAATGCATATTAAACCAAATGTAAAGTAAAGAAGCCTAATATTCATCAATTAACAACATTTCATTTCAACCTCTAGAGAAGCTTATAATTTTAAAATCCTTTATCTATTTTCTTTTCACTTCTAATTAGTTCGAGTATTGACACAATATCAACATATTTATCAATGAATTTACACATTTTTAGCATTCCATCTGTTTAATCCGCCAGGTTGCAGGATTATTTTTTAGAAGAATTACAAATTAATACCCAGAATGACTATCCTCTTTACCACCAAAAATCATAATCATATAAGATTAAGGCTCTTGAATGAAATTTGAGGAGCAATGTGATCTAAGAATAGAATCACAAATCAGAAGATTGGATTCAATGTAGAAATATGCGATCTTTTCATTGAACTACTTACTGTGGTATTCGCATAAATTTTGAGATCATATTCTCATGATTATCGCTGCCCTGAACACAAAATTTGCTCAGACTTCCCTGTTGGTCCCGATAGAATGAGATGAAAGTCTAGAGGGGGGGGGGGGGGGGTGAATAGACTCTTTTCGTTAGAAGCCCTAAACGTCACCTTTCGGTGTCTTGGCGCAGCGGATAAGATAGATTTGTTTTAGATACTTTGCACTAGTTTGTGTAATTAGACAAACTTTCGGTAAAGATAATAAAGGAATGATATGAATGCAAAAAGAAAAGCGTAAGTAAAGAGTTAGAGGGGACACGAGATTTTATAGTGGTTCATCCAATGTTGCCTACTCCACTCTTCTTCCACAACTATTGGAAGGATTACACTATCACTCTTAGTACAAGTACACAAAGACCTCCTTGATCACTAAGCCGGACAGCCTTCGTAGGTTTTTCAACTCCTCGAGTTTACTCCGCCTCTATCAACTTCTTCTCCTGAGTTGAGGTTGGTAGAAAATGATTTCTTGTATTCTCCAACGATGAGGTCTTGACTCTGAGATATGATTGCTTCAAACAGATATCAAGACTTCCTTGAGGTGTAAGACAAATGATTCTTCAAGTAACTTAGCACCTCAAAACTGGTTCACAAAAGCTTTTAGTAAATTGTAGACTTTTCAAGAGCTTTTGTAAGTGAGTAAGTCAAGTGATAATGAACTAGCACCATCTTAGCTGATGAAGGTGGGTTTTTATAGGTGATGAAAATTCATCCGTTGGAGGGAGATGAAATTTTCAAAACCCTTTAACCATTGGACAAGGACCGGGGAGCTTCATGCATTAAATGCTCCATTAATGAGGTTGTACCATGTAGCCGTTGAAGGTATGGAAAGCATTAGGATTTGTCTTTTAGCTCCAGGAGATGGTACATCTTCATTTAATGCCTTTGAAAAGTGTGTCCCATAAGATGAAGTCCTTATTGTCCTAGGATGTTGTCAAAACAGACAGGTGGAACATTCTTCTCGTTGTTGAAGAGAAGTAATGCTTGATAAAGATCGTTTTTAACAAAAACTGTCCTTTCGTGCTTGTTGACAACTCCTGCTTGACTTTCGTCGTTGTTCTTCATGTCGCGTGTCTTCTTTCGCCTTGGAGACCCTAACATCTAGTCATAACTCATTTTCGTGTGTTTGTCTAGCTTAACACGAATTACAGAGGAGTTATGGAAACTCTCGTCTAGGACGAAAGCAGCGATTAAAAAGAACTAAAGGTTAGGGGTCTACTTTTCTACATTACATTGGTATCATCAAAATCCTAATACAATGTTCCTAACAATTTCCCCCTTTTTTATGATGCCAAAACCTATACTCTTCTTATAAGGCTGATAAAAGTTCCATAAGGATTTTTCTATTATAAAAACAGCCATACTTGAGAGTTTACAAATCTTTTTCTAGATTAAAGCGTTAATAAGCGAGACAAGGATAAGTAACTCAGACAAGTGACACGAGATGTGTGACAATAAGAGTTTCATATATAAAGATGTGATCATTACAAAAACTTTATGAAGAGAACCAGAACGAAAGTTAACTTACATTTCTAAAAGCTTTGATTTCTGTTGTTCAGCTTCCTTGAGTTTTGGTCATCCTTTTCCTTTTGTAGCTTTAGCATCCTGTTGAAGTCAATTTTCTCATTGATTTTTGCTCTGAAGACTTTAATAGGATTAGACTTGACAAGTTCTTCATGTTCTCCTTTGATGTTCAGACCAGTGTAATTGTTGTAGGCTTCCCGAATGTTGCTTCCTTCAACAATACCATACTTCCACCACGAAATCAGTTCAAACGAATTCATGCCTTCTTGGTAGTTCTTTCCTGATTCCTTGTGCACTTTGAAAGCTGCATTGTGCATGACATTCTGTGGGGAGTCGTTGGTTACATTAGAAAGGTCTTCAATGAGATTTCTGATCCTTTCTCTCTCCATTGCTTCATCTTCTCTTCTTTTTCTTTCTTCATCATGCTTCCTCCACAGTTCTTTGTTTGCTCTTTTGATTCTCTCATTTTGAGTGCTCATGTGATTTTGTCTTGTATGATTGTCTTTTGTTTTCAACCAGATAGGATTATTACAACCCTCGAATTGTTTGCCACTGCCTTCTTCATATAGGACGAAGTCCACAAAGTTTCCTATGCCATCCATAGTTACTTTGTTGTCTCTCATAAGTTTCTGCCTTAATTTCGTCTGTTCTCTCTTTGGCAGTCCTGTGAAGATGTATTTGGCTTCAGAACCAAATGATTGTCGAGGCTTAATTTGTTTGGAGGATTGGTATCGACCATGATATCTTTGCTTCGAGGAGTGGTAACCACGAGACTTGGAAGGTGGATGAGATGGATTCATATTCCTTTGGTCATAGTCTCTTGGTGTCCGAGAGGGAGAGTATCGTGTTTCACGAGCTTGATCTTTCGTGCTATCTCTCGGCTGATCATCATCCTTATCTTTGTCATCATTTCTCTTTTCCCCCTTTTTGGCATCATCAGCACAGGTGGTAGGAGGAATGGAAGAGACCTTGTCGATTGCAAGCAAGATATCCTGAGCATACCCGAGAATTTGAAGTGCATATTCGCCCAGTTGGTACGAATTGTCCTGATATGTGTCAATCTTTGTACAGGACAAATCCACACGCTCTTTGAGACCAAAATGAGAGTGTTTGATTTCGTGCTGTTGTCGCGCAACTTTGTTCAAAGAAGCTTCGAGATCATAAAGTTTCTTTGTCATTCTCTCAAGGATCTTGGGATCTGATTGGCTTTGTTGCTGCGGTTGAGGCTGTGCAGGAGGTGGAGATCGAGGTTGAGATTGTGCTGCTATCAGAAAATCGACCTTCTTGCACAGATCATCCATAAATTTCGTGTCCTTTTCTCGTAAAGCAAGATATTGCCTATGGATGGTCTCAGCTGAATGAACAGTTCCTCTCATGATGTTCATGATAGTCCGTGGGGACTCTGCAGGGGATTCTTCCTCAATGTTTGTTGGTGATGTGTCCATGTGATCATCTTGAGGTGGTGCTTCCCGTTTTCCACCACTAGCTGAGCTAAGAAGAATTGGTGAGGCTTCCTGTTTGCCCTCACGCATACTTTCGTTTCCTTGCTTGATTGGAGTCTCGTCTATGGGTTGGATATGCGGAACAATGGCGCGAGATAGATCTTCGGGATGAGAAGTTGAAGCTTCTTCCGAGTCATCACTGTCAGATGGTAGTTTTCTTAAGGGAGATCTTTGAGGATATGTGTCATAGTCAGGACCGATCAAGATTGTATGACTGTCTTCGGGGTCGGTTTCTTGAGCACCTTCATTACCCAACTGATCATCATTGTCATCATCATCATCATCATCATTCTCATCAGCAGCATCGTCAACATCATCATCATTATCATCTTCATCTTCATCTTCATTACTCTCGTCTTCTTCAATCTCTCGTCCAAGCTCATCTTTCGTGCCACTGACATTACAATTTGGATCATTTTGGTGTTCCTTCTCTAAGGAGGTCTTGATCTTTCATAGCAACAAGACATATCGAAGTTGCTTCATTTCTTCTTCATAAACAGGATCCAAGGGTGGCTTGTTAAGCTCGATGCAGATTGGAGCTTTATCTCTCCCGAGAGTGCGATTTGTCATCTTGTAAGAGAAAACGCGATTGATTTCTTCAATTCGAAGAGCTTTTGAAACGTCATCAGTGCCAATCCATTCAAGTGCAAAGTCTTCTTCATCCTGCATTGCTTCAAAAGTTTCAAGAAAGATCCGTAGTGGAGCAGTGCGCCACTTCTGCCACTGCAGAACTCGTTTGTAGTCCCTTTCAATGGATTCTCTAAGCACTTGATCTCGTGTACGACGAGAAGCCTTTACTTCAGGAGTTGGAGCTGAAGGTTTCGGTATATCCGGAGAAGTTACATGGACAACGGCTGTCTCGTCTACCAACACAGGTTCTTGTGTCAGAATTACCTGCTCTGTATTGGTAGGTTCTTGTGGCAGACAAGGCACAGCGATCAGAGCATCAGTCGCCTCTGTCGTCTTTTCTGGTGACCCAGGTTCTTGTGGAAGACTTAAGCGACTGGCCTCCATGTCTACATTAATAGGTTCTTGTGTCAGCTCTCGAAGGAGTTGATCTGCCAAAGTAGGTTCTTGTGGATGGTGGTCTTGAGGAAAACCGAGATCGGACTTGGGTTCTTGATCATCAGAAATTTTCTCTGGAAGAACATCTTTCGGTTGAGCTTCCCCCTCAGAAAGTGCTTCATTCGTGATTATTTCCCCCTGTGGGGATGCCTCTTTCGTGTCTTCTTCTTTCGGTGTAGAAGATTCCTTCGGGAAAGATTTCGCCTTGACGGGAGACCGAAAGTGACTCGTTTTGATGATTCTGGAGAGAATCAGATTATCTTCATCTTCGGATGAGTCTTTGACCACGATTGTTTCTGGTAGAGGGGAGGGTGAAATTGGATCTTTCTTCTCTTGTGGAGATTTTGAGGGGATTGGAACAACTAAAGTTTCTTCTGCCTTTTTCGCCTTACTCCGAGAGGAGTGCTTTTCTCGTTTTTGTCGTTTCGGCTTGGGTTGATCATCTTCTGAAACCCTAGGTGTTCTTGATTTCCTCTTGGCTTTGACTTGCTCAATAGGGATTCCCAACTCCAATGCCTTCTGCTTGTCATATCCGGATGGTTTTTGTTTCATGTGACATGCTTTCTGTCCAGGTCGAATTCCTGGGCGCAGAACGACTCCTTTCGTTGCCAGAAGATGGCTTATCACAAAACCATATCCTAATATCTTTGCAATGTCTCCTGGACTCTTCCGATGAAAGGTGATGGTGTGAACAATGTTGTTGAATATGATCTTCGACCAATCGACTTTAAATCCATTCAAGAAGGCATGCAACATTTTCAACTTCTCCTTCGTCACATCATCAGTGCCCGATGTCTTGTGATCGACGAGTTTATTGAAGATATCAACAGTGAACTCATAATCTAGCCGGAACCATTTCTTCTTCAACGGCCATGTGATTTCTGCTTTGGGTGGTGCGAGATTGTTCTTGATGGATTCGTAGAACTCCTCTGGATCGAGATGATAATAGATAATATCTGACTTGTAGGACTCATCTCTCTGTGGGAACCCGTATGTTGATCGAACGTCCTCCGAGGTGATGACCACATGATGATTATTGACTCTGGAAGTGATAGTCAGATAATCAGAAGATATTGAAGCATTCATATAGAACTGGGTTACATCAACCGGGTACCAAACAGTATAAAGATGTGTGATGAAGCCATATAATCCTGTTTCTGTGAGGAGCTGTATGATGTTTTCACCAAATTTTCTATCCAGGATATACTCAAGGAATCCATGCGCGTCCCACATATTTCCCCCTACGATGAAGGGTACTCTGGATTCAATGAATCTCAGGTCCTCAGTTGGAAAGCTTGGGGCTTCCAGGTTGGAAGGAGTTTCTGGTTCAGGATTAGATGGTGATGCTTGTGGATGTTCTGCCATAGTTGAGGATTTGAGAGAGACAGAGGGTTATGAAGAAAAGTGTGAGAAAGGTAGGGTAAAAAGATCAAGAAGGTTTAAGAGGGGTTTTATAGAACTCCGGGTATCCGGGTATGGATGGTCCATTTAGAGATGAATGGTTTAAAATTCAAAACACTCCCGGTTCTTCTTCTCCAAAAAGGTAACTGATCAACATGGGGGAGTGATAAGATCGTGTGCAGATCAAAAACGATCATTCCCTCATTTAATGAGGTGAGAGAAAATCAATCGAGTGCTTATGGGTGCATTAAATGCACGTCACATCATGTATCAGACAAAGTGGGAAGTGGACCACTTTTCTCGGCCACATGATCCCATTAGGATTCATCTGAACGGTTGGAAATAAAAGCTTAAAGCATTAAGCATATTTAGTCATGATTCCAAACCCGAAAGATGATAGAGATTTCATAACATCAGACTTGTAAGACAGATAAAGTCGAACAGGTCCTTTTTACATCAACAGAAATGCTTCTCCCGAGAGAATTATTACACAGAACAATGCACAACATCAAAAGTTACAATCTCTCGTGCATTTGTAGGCAGACTTCCCTTCTACACATTGCTACCCTTCTTCTTTCGTTCGTACTCAAGGTATTCCCTCTTTCGGATCTCATGAGCAAAGACTTCAGCAATGAGGGTCTCATGATCTGCTCCCAAGGTTTCTCTAGAGAGACCTCGTCTCTCCATGTCATTTAGTTCAGCCATTACCTTGGCCTTAGCAAAAGAGTACAGTGCACGATATTTTTCTTCGTGCTTTAGAAGAGGGGTAAGTTCAACAAGAGAGTAGAACTCTGAGATTTCAGGTTCTTTCTCAGATGATGAACCTTTCTCAACCGAGTTCCCGAGATCACGGTGAGACATTTTTCCAGTCTCAGATAAGCTCTCGGATGAGAGTGCCTTTTCTTTTCCTCTATCCTTGAGAGGGTCCATTAAATAGAGAGACCGAACCTCTCAAAAGATGTGTCCAACTGTCTTAACCAAGACACTGTTTAGGGAATATATTCTTTTTCAAGAATTTTGTCCTTGATTCGAGATTTTTAGACAGGTGATAGATAAGACATATAAAGTCTCGATCAAAGGAAACCAGAGCCAATTAAACTTTATTATTCATAGAACCGAGAGAAGAAGGTACATAGGATAAGATACAACAGACAAAAGGTCAAATTTTCTTCCTCTCGTTTTTCTTGACTCCAGATGGTTCACCTTTGGCCTTTTTTCAAATTTCCCAGCATTTGCTTGAACCATTTCCCGGTTCGTGGGTAGTTTGAGCCAGATGAGGATTCAGGTTCTTCATCCTGATTATATTTCTCCATTAAGTCCTCTTGTGCCAGAAAAGCCATATAGTCTCGATCTGGAATCTTGGTAGGATCTTTCGAAGTCTTCTCTTCACTTTCAACAATAAAGCCCGTCATATCAAGAGACGAGTCGGAATCAGAAGGAATTTCCACTGGTGCTTGTGGACTGTTACCAGGGTAGAGGTCACCCTGTTCCTCCCTGAGACGTCTGGCACCTTCTTTCAGTTTGTGAGAATCACCTCTGGTGAAAGTTTTCTTTGGAGCCATGGTAAAGAAAAAAAGGATGAATATAATGTGAAGAATTCACCTCCTTTTATAGCAAGAAATCCACATAGCTCATGTCTGTTACCCATTAATTTCAACGTTACAATTAATGCTCATAACTGTAGTCAAGGAGTTATCAATTCCAAGCAAGACTTTGACTGTTAACTTGTTTCTTTATGAAACTCCAACTTCAATGAACTTTTAAAAGAATGTAACGTATAAAATTATGGCCCTTTTGACCAGAAAACGTATGAGTGATGAGCTTTCCTGTGATTTGGACACGTAACATATAAAGTTAGGCATAGACAAGATAAGCAGTCATTCTAAGTACGAAAGGATAGCATTTTTATTAGATCACGAGGATTCCAGGTCACGAGAGTACAGCATACAAAAGCTTAGAGAAAACGATAAGGCACGTGAAGTTCCAGACGAGTCATCTCTTCGGTCACATCAGTTAGATTTGCCTTTTTTGCATATTCATCCAACTCCTCAAGTGAGAGAGTGGGTTCGGGTGACTGA